GGACAAATATGCTTAAATAGTCAACTTGTCTGAAAATATTTTGTTTACTAGTCACTGCATCTCCCATTTAAGCATTCCTGCTTCAATCCAAAAATCACAGTACTGTTTACTGCCAAAATCTGTTTGGTTTTTTGAACATATGAAATTATTTTGAGATAGTGGTGGATTCTTCAGTAGGTGTGACTTTATCCAGTTTCACCAGAGACTATAATATGCTGTTGTAGAGAAGCCTTGAGGCAAAATCCCAGTTTCTGTCTTTGCTTGAGAAAAGAGTAAGGCTAGGGGTGTGACTTCATTCTGGCAGGAATTACAGCTTTACTGTCAGATGTATTTCCTCCATGCAGCTTTTTTTTTGGCTGACCTTCACAAATACTGCCAAACAATGGAAAGATGTTTGTTGTTCCAAAACACCCCCCCCACCAAATCCCCCATTGTTTTAGCCAAATAAGAATATGTTATTCCACATATACTGTCCTTGTGAGAATCATCTTAATTCTGTTGTTCACTGAATTGCTGTTTAGGCCTCTCGTGGGTAGTCAGAAGTGGAGTAATAGTTTGTAGAACATCTCTTATAGAAAATAACCCGGGGATGGTCAACATGCAAGCCACAGGCAGCTGCCTCTGCCCATCTTTATGCCTTCACCGCGCCATGCTGGTGCTGCCAATCTGTTAAGATTCCGTGGTGCAGCCACAACAACAAAAGAAGTCCAAGTTTTTCTTTAATTGGCCTGCCATAGCACCAAGTTTTGCATGTGTGGCAGCAAGAACACCCTTTAAATAAAAACAAAATCACTTTAAAACGAGACACTGGGAAGATGAATCATGTTTTGAAGCAAGTTAGTATTCCAAGCAGTGTGAGTCAGGTTCAGAACAAATCTTACGCTCCTCACATACCTTGTTGTACACCAAAAATTGTTTTGTTGATATGTTTGTTTTTCTAATTTTAAAAATACATGTTTTTATTTTATTATACTTTTCTACTTCAGAATTTCAACTTGTGGGTGTGGCCTCTGATCAGTTGAGGTGAGAATGTAGTTTCCTAGCCACTGGGGTGGTCCAACCTTGTTGTGCATCTGATTATACTAGACTCCCTTAGCTTGCCCTCCCCCATGTAGTGCACTGCTCCAGCCATGCTGACTGGGATCAAAGATGCTGTAATCCAAAATAATTGGGGGGGGAGAGGATGCCAAGTCAGGAAAAGTTGGTCTACATATGATTACCACTGCATGATGGCTGCTTTAAATTACTGGTACTGTGCTTCTGTGCTCATTTAGTTGTAACTACACTGCTTAGAATTGGCTGGGTGTTGTGTTAAATATTGACCTAATCCAAAAACTAAAACGGCATCAATGGGTTTTAGTGGTATTCAGCACATTAAGCGTACAGTATATAAAAGGAAGGAGAGATTAAAGTGAATTCATTGATATTCGCTAGAGAATATCCTTTTAAACTTGTAAATGTTCTCGTCAAACTATCTCTTCCTGTGAATGTGCTCTAGAAAATATGTGTTAATTAAAATTATTCTTATTTCTATCCTAGAGAGAGTTATGTATCTTAATTATCTAAAAAAAGAGATAATAATATTCATATTGCAATTTTGGTTTCAGCAGTGCACATGGTGGCATATTTATTAAACAAATATGACTTACACATACAGGCAGGCGGAATATACACTGTACTAGCAATTAATTTTCTTAAGTGCTATTTAATGAAGTTCAATGCAAATATGCAATATAAATTATTAAGTCCTGAAAAAATAAGGGAATTTTGTAAGCAGTGTTTCGTTTGATGCTCGTTTAAATCAAACACAGCTCTTTTGTGGAGTTGGTGTAATTCTTCCACATTTCATTCATTGCAGAAGCCTAGTAATGTGTAGTGAATTAAGAATGGTTCAGTAGGACTGTTCAGTCAATTGCCGCTTAGTTTTAGATCTCATGCAGTGAGGGCGAGCTTCCGAATTTCTGTTTACTCAGTGGAAACAATGGGACTGGCCTAACCTTTGTTTCAGTGAAGAATAAGAAAGAGCCTTTCATCTCAAACATGGAGGTCCTTAGTTGTAAGCCTTGCCATTCAGCATTTTCAAATAGATAAGTCTTACATTGGTAGTGCTGTGCAAGGGATTTTGCCTTTTTGTGACACACATGAGGCTGGGATTAGAAGCCTGTTTAATGATTATTGTTTTTCCTGGCTAAAAGTACATCTGGAAAATAATTCCACCTGTGTGACTTCTCAAAAATTCTTTGATCTTATTTCTGTATACCAACGGTAAACAACCTTGCTGTTACGTGCTGTCAAGTCACATCCAACACATGGTGTTCCTGCAAATCAGTGGCCTCCAAAATGTCCTGTCATTACTAGCCCTGCTCAACTCTTGCAAATTTAAGGTCATGGCTTCGTTTCTTGAGTCATGGAAACCTTGTACCCTAAATGCATTTTGGACTATAAGCATCTCAATCTCTACCCCGAATTTATTATTCTTGAATACTTTGTTGTCAAATTCTTTACCATATCCAATGATACAGTGAAATGTAATCAGTGATCAAGGATTATAGGACTGTAATTGCCTATTTCCACTTCAGAGGTTGCTTCAATAATTAGCATTCAGAATTTATACCAAGGAAGGCTAAAAGCGTCCTGTTAAAATTATTTGCAGCCCCATTATCAAGTAAAATTTTCTATAGACTACACATTTCTGACTAATGTGAATGAGGTATTTCCGGACCAAGATAATGACTAGGTTCAGCAAAACCCAGGATTAGCCTTTATGGAGGCTAACAGCAACAGAAAAGTTTGGCACTGTGTATAACCTTTGTTGCAAAGCAGCTGAAAAGCTGCATGTGTGAGAGCTTAGCTGATAAGGGGATGAGTGAGGGATAATTTGGCAGGCCAGAACATAATGAATTCATAATAAGGCTGAGAGTGAGGCAGAGAGGGAATGTGTTTACAACTTGCAGGGATGATACATTTGACTGGGAAAAAACAAATAGAAAAACAGGGCAAAAAAGTTTGTCCATACTACAGACCAGTGTAAAAACTTAAGATGGGAAGTTATGGGGCTAGTACATGGCTCTCCTTCTTTCTAAAAATTTGATAGAGTGAAAGGATGGGAGGCACACAGATAATAGCTATGAGGCGCTATGAAGAGATTTCAAATGAATCAATTTAGCTTCTATGTAACTGTGTCTAATGGAACACAGGAAATTCCAGCATGATATATAAAGTGTGTGCTTTAGCATTTCCTGTGTTGCTTTATAGTTTTTTGTGTGTTTGATTTCAGCCCCCAAATCCATAAGACAGGCCCCCGAAGTTAACATGTCGCTCAAAAAATAAAAGATTAATGAAGATTTCAGAGTTGTATCTCAGCAATATCTTTAAAACAAACCAAAGCATACCCTCTTCATCTTAAAGCAAAAGCCATTCTTCCAAAGAAATGAAAACAATGCAAGATCAGCACACATCCCCACACTGTGGGGTACCACCTCCTGAATTGATTGATTGATTTGATTGATTTGATTGATTTGATTTATATCCCACCCACCTGGTATATTCTACCACTCGGGGTGGCTTACAACATAACATAAATAAATTACAATAGCACAGGAGCATTACCATAGAAACAGTAAGATACATGATAGAATATGGCAAATAATAAATAGCAAGAAAAGAAAGAATCAAGTGTTGACAGGAGGGAAGGCCTGGATGTACATCCATGTTTTTAATTGGCTTTTAAATGTGCCCAACGTATAAAGGCCCTAGAGAGGAATAATAGAAGGTAGAACAGATGAAGAAGTTCACCCCATTGTTTCTAAAAGTAGTCTTTCCCATAGTTTGGCAGAGTTACTTCTGGCAGAGAGAACCATAGGCCCCACCATCCCCTAGCCAGCATGACCACTCGCCATTCTAGCTGTGAGGTTCTGGGAGGTGGATTTCAAAGTACTGTATTAACTGCCCCAACGTTATTCTCGCTCCTGTTTCAGTGTTTTCCAGTATAAAGTAGTTGCCTTATGTATTAGCTTCTCTGTTTTCCCCACTGTAATGAGTATACAGTACTGCCTCAACAACGATTTGTTAAGCTAGCTGTGCAACTTGATACAATGATTATTTACATACCCATCAAGGTGTGCCTGCTTCTGTATTTTATGTGTATTATTTTATTTTTGCCGATTCTCTCTTTCCAAGTGGCCCTGTACAATTCTTAGAGTACCCGTTTCTGATGAAATATTAGGCTGTTGCTTGCAAAAGGAGTAACATTTTAAAGAGGGCCTTGGGACACCTTAAAATTGAATAAATTCTATTACAGCATAAGCTCTCATAGACTACAGCCTACTTAAACCTCAGAATCTTATGCCACAATAGCCAGGAGCCTCCTAGAAAGCCTCTTAAATCATTATTATTACTGTCTATATTTTTGCTGATATAAACACTGCTGTTCTTTGAGGATTTTATTATATTGGTGGTTGTACTGGTGGTCATGATGCCATATTATGATCTTGATTATTACCTCAGTTCAGAAGGTATGCAACAGGGTGGATTTGATTTTAGTCAGATTGATTTAAATTGTGATTTAATCACAATTTAAATTTTAAAAATTGATTTTTTTGACGATTTAAATTTAAAAACTGATTTTTAAACATTTAAATCAATTTGACCTTCCAAAAATCCCTAATTTGTATTCACCCTGGTTTGCAGGTTCTGTTTACCTGGGGTGACTTGGTTTGGGCAAAAACTATACTGAGGTAGCTTGAGATTGACAAACAACAACCCTGCTCACTACACAACAAACCATCTTTAGAACTGAGTGCAGTAGGGGGGCAAATCTGAAAATTTACTTGCAACAGCTATAGGGGTTGCTGCCTTTTGCTCCCCCTCCTTGTGTCAAAATCCTTTTACCCCTTTATTTATTGGAGTTACAATTATTATTGATCAACTTTGTTAGCTGATTTTAAAATAGGATAATGTTGACATCTTTTTTTTAAAAAAAACGCTTTTGTTTCTCCTAGTTGGCCTGCTGCTGTGGTACTGCTGCATGTGCGCTTTGCTGCAAATGCTGTCCAAAGATAAAACAGTCAACCAGCACCCGATTTATGTATGCAATGTACTTCATTTTGGTGACTCTCATCTGTTGCGTCATGATGTCCGAGACAGTAGCAAAAGAAATGAAAGAACATGTAAGTAAATGCCAGTGGAAAGATCATGTAAGTAGTTGCTACTTATGGAATGAGGATGATGGTATAGAACCCAATGATCATTTTTAGAAGAAACCGTGTTATGTTGGTGTTTTAGAAATTTGGAAAGAGAAACAATGGTTAAAATCCAGTAACAAGTCACAACCAGAGTGGGTCTGCTGAATCATTGGGATTTGGAGAATTAATTCCTCTGTAAGTTTCATTGATTCAAATGGGCCTACTCTAGTTGTGACTTACTACTGGATTTTAATCTATGAGTACTAAATTGTTGCGTGTTACCAGTGGCATGATTTCTCTTCCACTCTAGTGCTACATATTTCATGTTTGATACTTTTGTAAGTCTCCATTAAAATATTTCTATGCAAATACAATGAACTGTTTCAGGAATTCTCAGAGACCTAGAACTGTGTGAGTTTCAGTAACCAAATGTTTCATCCTGTGTTTTGCTTTGAAAACAAGAGCAGCAAGAAAAGCTAGTATAAAGGCTAATTGTTTGCATGGAAGCAAAAGATTATTGCTCTCTGAAACTTGAGTGCTTGGCAGCTTTGAATGAGAGAACACAAGCATCCTAAGCAGGTCCATTGTTGGAACTCATACATACTTTCCAGGCCTCTAACTCATTCTGGCAACTCAGATTCTAGTGTGATGGATATGTAGGAGCCTCTCTTGATTTTATCACGGAGCAGAGTTCATCTAAAAGCAATTATCAGTATTGTAAAAAGCTGAATGGAATGCTAACTGTTCCTTTGCTATCACCCCTCTTGAGGCTGGTGCATTTGTTCTGCCCAGAACTACATTTAGAGAATGAACGCTTTATTATATTACTTTCCAGTTGCAGATAGTTTTGACAGATGCACTAGCCAGGCGTGTGAAAGAATGACATAGCACAGGGTGGAATCTTCAGTAGTCTTTAGAGCGAGTGCCGTGTGGAGCCTAGTCTTTCTCTCCATTGTTAATGAGAGAGGCCCATGGGTCTAGCTGGTAACAGTTTAGACTACATTGTGTGAAGTATAGCTATTGATGATGAGGTGGTTCTGTGGAATTAAAAACCCACATTATGCTGAAATATTCACTGTTTTCTTGTTGTCAGTGTCTGCAGAGTTTGTGGGGGAAATGTGATGCAAGGCTGCTTTGTTTTGGTTGTTTATCACAGAGAACTGGTGGGATGGTAGATTGACAGAACTGTATACAAACAAGCCTATTTTCCAAGTGTGCTCATGAAGCTGCCTGTAATCCAAGAAACGCGTCCCAGAATCCATTCCTGAGCAGATGTAATATAGCCAGTTGGGCAGCAGAATTCTTGGATTGGACCCAGTACAAAGTGGGATAAAGAGTAGAAGTTAAAAGTTCTCTAGGATTCTTAAAGACAGAGTAGGACTGAGTGTGTTTCCTTCTCTTTAATACTGTATTTTCTTTACCGCCTGGAAATCTCTCTATCCTAATTTTATTTGTTTAGTTTTCTATAATCTCCAGATCCTGCCTCAACAGTGCTTCTTTTCGAGCAGTCATAGTGGTCAACACCAAACCCTGTGAATGGATAGTTAAATTACAACCTGAAAATGTTACTCTTTTGAGCTATAGCTCACACGATCACTCAGCCAATGTAGTCAGTGGGAATTTCAATACAAAAGTAACTTTTTTCAGTTCTAATTTAAATAACAGCAAATCAGTCTAGGATTAGAATAGGAAACTGTGGCTGTAGAGATGAATGATCCACTCAGCCTAATTTTAAAAGGCCTCTACAAGTGACCAAACTTCTAGCAAGTTTCGTCTGTTCCTCTTTGGTATTTTGCTTAGTTCTGAGGGAGGAAGAGGGTGTTGAAAGGAAAGAAGAAGGGAGTTTGCAGGTAGAGGGGAAAGGGCTGGCTCCATCCACCTTTGACTCTGGACATACAGTACCCACGGCAGGCATCAGCCCTGCCATTTCACAGCTTGTAGTCCCTGACAGATCACTACTGCTCAACAAATGGTGCCCTGAAAAGGGTTCCCTAACGTTCATCAATTTAGCTGCAGAACTTTGCTGATATGACTTAGTCTCTGGAAATGCTTAAATAAGACATGAGTTATGTCAATAGCTGTCCTTGAAAAATGTTTAATAATTATTTCCAGACATCAACATTCCCTCTAATGTCCCACCAGCAAGGTTCTGGCTATGACTGGAACCAAGCAACTACACTAACTACGGGTGTGTGGCGCCAATACAGTGCTGTGCAGCCAGACATAAGATAGTTTAGAGGAGTATCCTTTCCTCAATTACTGCTGACATTGGCTAAAACATTCGGAATTATGTGTAGACTTTCCTCTGCCTTCTTTTCCCAAAATCACAGCTTTGGGCTTGACATTTCTTTAGTTACCAGGAAGCATTCCTAGCTTGTGAGTAGCCAAGTCTGATCTTTGATTGTCCATGGCCAATCTTTGTACTGGCCAGGATCTGAATTTTTACCGAAATTCACACAGTAGCCTTATACTAAGCTTAAAGAAGTATTGGTTTTTTCCAGTGGTGGGGAGTGACTGTAGACTTCAGATATTATTGGATTGATAATCCCATCAGCCTCAGCAAGAATAGCCAAGAGTTAAGTATGATGGGGTTTGTAGTACAGTATGGTGAGACACATGTACCATATCCTAACTGCTTTGGCCATTCCTGTGGTTTCAGAAATAATATGTGGCAGCTAGTTGGTAAACAAATGTTTGAGCCCATTTATTGACTGATTGGTTTCTCATCCTGCCTTGCCTTCATGGAACTCAGAGAAACATACAGTGTTTTTCTCCCTTCTCCATTTCATTCTCATAATGATCCTGTGAGGTAGGTTAAGCTGAAAGAGAGTGGCTCAAGGTCACCCAGTGGATTTAAGAGCTGAATGGGAATTTCATTCTAGCTTTTGTCTAGTTTTTGTTTGACATTGTATCCTTCCAGCTCTTTGTTCAACAGGACTTCTTTTATAGTTTTTTTTTATCATGTCTGAAGTCTGAATATCACTTCTTTCCCTTTCCTTGGGAAAGTAACTTTTGTTCCCAATAGGAATAGCTGACAGCATCCAAATTTCCTTTAGGTACAGCCAATTTAAGTAAGTATTTTCTATATTGTGTTCTCTCTAGAGCTCTCCAAAGTGGATTTAACCTTGGGAAATGTTCTCTTGAGTCTCAGAGGGTTGTTTCTATTCATAGGCACCCACCCCTGGAAAAATGTGTCTTAATGTTCTCCTCAGCTGTTACAAATGTTCAGTTAGTCCATGTCTATGAGGATACAGAGAAGCTTTTGTTTTATTGCAAACACATGGATTTGTATAAGTCAGTGCATCTATTTGCAGACTATCTTCACGGTGAAAGGGTGGGTGCCAGTCTTTACTGAGTAAGTCAGTGCATCTATTTGTAATCTTCATGGTGAAAGGGTGGGTGCCAGTCTTTACTGAAGCATCGCCCATAGATACAGGCTCAGGTCACAGAAACGTGCTTTGTAAGATGTAGTTTCTGAGGGCAGCCGCACATTGGTGTGGTACTTCTGAGGCTAAATTACGTGGCTTGCTGTTCTTTTTCTGTGAGCTGAAAATGTGGCTTCAAAAGCAAATATTTAGCAAGTGAAGAAAGGGTGGAATCTCCTCAATATTTAAGCTTTTGCGAAGGTTTTGGTATAAAGTATTTCAGGATGTTGAAACAGAGAGAAATGGGGAATTTTTTTGCTTCACTTTTTGTTTGCACATCTTTTGATACATATTTTTATTAATAGTACTTAAACGAACAAAAGAATCACATTAAAGAACCTAACTGATAAATCAACACTGCATGTAACCAGATATCTAACAGAGTGTGCAGAATCAATGGAAGTAGAGTTGAAGACCAATTAAAAAATGTTTTATTCTACTTCTTTTTTTAATATTTATTTTTTAACAACTAAGAATAGGGTAGGGAATACGAAAGGTAAAAGGAAGTGGGGGGAAAGGGGCAAGAAACTCTGGTTTCTCTTCAGATCGTATAAATCTTTCACCTTTTATTCTACTTCTTCACGGTTACTTTCTGTGGGTCATTTACTCTATAATCACATGGTCCCTGGGAAGAAATCCTGGGGGGGGCAGCTGGATTTTGCAGTTCTCTCCTGCCACCACAAGGAGAATAGGAGGTCCCGCTCCAGCTCTGGAGGGCAGGATCAAGAGTAGAAAAGGAGTCATGCTAGGATGAGCCAATGAGTGTTAACAGGGGAGACTATCTTGTTACAGGACTTGTATCTCTTCTGGTCCCCGGACCATGTCCTAAAATGCCATACCCTGATTTACACCAGCCCTGTAGTTAGCAAAGCTCAGTGGGTTCCAATGGGAAAGACCAATCTGAGTGGCCCAAGAAATGGAAATGCCATCCGACATAATACACACTGTTTACACCATACAGGCTTCTGCTTTTTCCTAGAGGGGTCTATAAAGGTGTGCAAAATTTTAGGGAAGGTATTCAGTGAGCAGACTTCCTAACCTTGAAGACCTCTAGATTCTGCAGAGGCTCCGGTACTGGAGCTCTCCCTAGCACATGGTGCAATTGTTTTGTAATGAAGCTGATTGAATAAATTAAGTAACAAGAAGAATTGAAACAGCTGCGGAAGAGCAGTGAGTGCAGTTCTAATTATAAATCTCTCTGAAATGCTGTTAATAAGTGCTTTTTTGTAACAGAGGCAGATGTTTCAGAAATGAAAAGTGATATAATTTAATTTTCAAATACAAGGTAAACATATCTCAAAACTTTTCTTGAAAAACAACAGACATCTTGCAGGACAAATGTATGTGAGTTTGCTTTTTTGAAAAATCTGATTCTCTGCCAAGTTACTGTAGATGAATTTAAACAGCTGTATGGCTTAGTAAGTCTGGAAGCATCCCATAATTATCTTCAAAGAACTTTAAATGGTTGTAATACTCAGAATTCTGGACAACTAATGTGCTTTAATGTGTGTTTCAGATTCACCTTTTTGAAACAGTATGCCAACATATTCAGGCAGGGGATTCCTGTGAAAAGCTGGTGGGCTACTCTGCCGTTTACCGTGTATGTTTTGGAATGGCCTGCTTCTTTTTCATCTTCTTCTTGCTCACAATGAAGATTGACACTAGCAAAAGCTGCCGTGCATACATTCACAATGGGTAAGATTGATGATTCTCATCTTGCTGTTGCTGAACATTCATTATGCTAAATACTGTGTATTTGCTCAAAGTTTCTTAACAGGTAGTTACTTGTCCCGAGGCATTGCTGTGGTTGTATATTGCAGAAAATAAGAGGGGGAAAACTTTTTTAAAAAGTTAATCTTGTACCTTATGGGTGATCAGGTTTTATTTACTTTGTCAAATGCATCCTATGAAATATACTGGAATTCAGGAAAGCTTACATCAAAAAACCCAAAATATTTTTAAGGTGCTATAAGACTCTTTCTGTTAAGGTGCCACAAGACTCGTCTTGTTAATGTTCCTCCCTTCATTACTTTCTTCCCCTAGTTTAACCCTACTATGGAACTGAAGGCTCTTTGGAACATGTATGAAGGAACCTCTGTGTCTATTCATAGCACTGAACAAACAATAATAGCAGTGACCAAGTTGTGTCAGTTTCTTTCTGACCTAGGTTTATCCTACCTCCTCCTCCTCTTGCTATATTTGCCTCAATTTCTTTTCTGATTTCCTGACTCTTTCAGTAAGTCACACCCAAATTTCAATAGTTTTGACAAGAGTTCCCTGTTAATTTGGCATGTTGTCCTGTTTAAACCCTGGTCAGTTTTTGTGATGAGGCCATAGATAGGACTGCTCCTAAGTATCCCCTCCCATGGATTGGAGCCAAAGTAGTTCCCTGGTTTACTAGGAAACTGCGATGATGATAAGAGTGGGATGGAGACTGGAGCAACATTGACAGAAAACCCAAAGCAATTCTGTCCAAACACAGGCTGTAGCATGTTTGAAGGTCTAGTATATATGGCAGTGTCTGCAGCAAAGAAATGGCTTCTTTGCAGCCATTGCATCTGCACATAACCAGCCAGGAGAACTCTTTTGGGTGGCCAGAGTTTGCCCACAAGAACAAGACGCTGACCACTCTACATACAGCCCATTGTGAAGAATTTGCAGGGTGTTTTGCAGGTAAGGTTGCTCATATTTGCTCTAATTTGGATGCTACCGTTGAGGCAGGTTTCAGCTCAGAGTACACAGTTTATGTGCCCAGGTTCAAGTTCAGCCTCCAGTATCAGTAGGAAGGACTAGAAAAGATCATGTCCGAAGCCTTGGACAGCAATTGCTTACAGTGTGGGGTTAGCTGGAAAGATGGTCTGACTTGTGATAAGGTCACTTCCTGATGGAGCTGTAGGTTCTATCTCACTGGGAAATGCATTCATGAACAGGTGAGATGTCTGTCTGCCTGAAATTCTTCTGCATACATGAGGGCGCCTTGAGGAAATAGATTGTGCCTGTATTCACCAGCACTCTTGTCATCTGTTGCCACAGGTCATTGCATGATGAATCTATGTCAGGATATCTCTAGTTTCTGCCACTAAATAAATCCAGTTCTGTCTCCTTCTCCTTCCCCAGATTTTGGTTTCTTAAACTTCTTGTCTTGGCAGCCATGTGCTCAGGAGCCTTTTTCATTCCAGACCAGGATACCTTCCTTAAAGGTAGCAGTTTTTAAATATTTGTTTTTTCTTCGCTGTCTATCATAAACAGTGATCATTTTACATTATATGACCAGAGAGACTAAACTGACTATACTTGAAGGCTTTTATCCTCTGTTAGCTATTTATGAGTCTGAAACAATTAAAACATGTTAGCTTTCACTCTTCATATCATATGACTGTTGTTTCATCTGCTGCATTTTCTGAGCTCACTTACCCATCTTTGCTTCTGGAAAGAAGGAAGAAGAGTGGAGCGACCAATTCAGGTGGTGGGCATCTATATTGTTGTTGTTGTTGTCAGTTTTATTTATATGCCACATTTCTCCCAACAAGGGACCCAAAGCAGCTCACAACATTAAAATTCACATCATTAAAAAATAAGTTAAATATTAAAAGTCAAATTAAACAATCCGTATATTTACAATACCGTAAAATTAAAAGATTAAAACAAGAAAAATGAAAAAGATTAAAATTATCTGCTAAAATGGGGTTCAGTAATTCAGTTATAACTGTTAAAAACCTGCTGAAGAGATGGGTCTTTAGCTTTTTTCGAAAGGATAAAAGGGAAGGGACCATCCCGATCTCCTGAGGGAGAACGTTCCATAGCCTGGGAGGTGCCACAGAGAAGGCCCTCTCCCGTCTCCCCATCAGCTTTGCTTGTGCTGGCAATGGGACTGAGAGGAAGGCCTCCTCTGCAGATTACAGCATCCAAGTCAGAGTGGATCCAAGCAACTTTATCTGCGAAGTGTTGTGCAAATTCCTCACAGCAGGTTGTGGAGTGGTCAATATTTTGTTCTTTTGGTGAGGGCATGTACGAAGCCCCTGACCACTCAAAACAACTCCGCTGGAAGGCTTTGTGCAGATGCAATGGCAGCAGCAAATAACCTTTTCTTTGCTGCAGCCATTGCCATGGAATAGGCTTTCAAATGGGCTCTAGCGCATGTTCGGTCGGATTCCCTCTGAGTTTTCCACCATCGTCGCTCTAGTCTCCGCCCCACTCATTTCATCACTGCCAGCTCCCTGGTGAACCAGGGGACTTGCCTGGCTCTACTTCATGGGAGAGGACGCTGAGGAGCGATTGTGTCCACCACCCTGGCCATTTCCCCATTCCAGAGATCAGCCAGAACTTCAACAAGATTGCTTGCCGAAGCAACAGGAGACTCCCCAAGAGCCATCAGAAAACCACTTGGGTCCATTAGTCTCCTGGGGTGGACCATCCTAATAGGTTCTCCACCCCTGCAGAGATTATGAGTTCTAGTAAGTCTAAACCTCAGCAGGTAGTGATCTGTCCATGGCAACAGAACTACAGAGAGCTCCTCCACACCCAGATCACCATCATCCTGCCCAGCATGAAATACAAGGCTCAAAGTGTGCCCTGCTATATGTGTGGGGCCAGAAACCACTTGGGAGAGACCCATGGTTGTCATGGAAGACATGAAGTTCTGAGCTGCTCCTAATAAGTTGGTCTCAGTGTGGACATTGAAGTCCTCCAGTACTATCAGCCTAGAAGACTCCAACATCACCTCCGATATCAACTCAGTCAGCTCAGGAAGGGAGACTGCTGAGCAGCAGGGTGGACGGTACACCAACAGACCCCCTATTCTGTCCTGGGTGCCCACCTTTAAGTATACACACTCGAACCCCGAAAACTGTGGGACAAGGCACTTGGTGAGGGGGATGGAATCACGATTGACTACTGGAACTTCACCTCCCTCGCCCCAGATCTGACCTGCTGCTGCACATAGTACCCAGGTGGGCAAAGCTAAGAGAGACTAATTCCCCCAGTTCCATCCATCCAGGTCTCTGTAATACAGGCCAGGTCAGCCTGCTCATCCAGGATCAGGTCCTGGATGGCAGATGTTTCCCTTTTTACTGACATGGCATTCAGCAGCAGCATTTTTAACCCAGGAAGACTATTACCACAGCTATCCAGGCTGTCTCAAAAGGGAGACAATTTGGAGCTGACTAGGATCCTGTTCCCTCCCTCTCTCCTACAATGATTCTCTTGTCTCCTCTCGCCGTATCTCCCCTCTACCCAGTGAAATGCCAGTGGCATCTCCCTTCTCCCCCTTGATTGGCCTCCTTATTTGAAAGACACATCCCTCCCACCCCAGACAGATGGCAACAGGCAGGCAAATAAAAAGGAATCCCTCTAGGCAAGAAGAATGGTCCTCATCCTTA